GCAAAAGATAGGTCCAGATCAGGAAGCATAGCAGTGCCTACCAGCTTTTATTGATTCCACCCAGGTATTTGGAGAGACTTAGGGAAGTTTGAATGTGTTGTGAGAGCTGGGAGATAGCTCAGTGGGGTAATTCTTTAGCTGTTAGATCAAAGGGTCATGAGTTCAAATCCCAGGTCTACATTTTGAAACTTTATAATTCATCAAGACTCTTTCAAAACATTGTATAGTCATAGTTGATTGTGGGATTTGAACTCATGATCCCTTGATCATTCACACTTCTTCAGCCGTGGGTCTAACACGCTGGGCTACGGACCAGCTCACTTATAACATGTTTTAACTTGCCTATATTTAGCCAACGATTTGTGTGTAAGTGAAGAAATCTTGAAAAACTGTGGGAACTAAGTTTGCTACCAAAGTTGATGATGGGATTTGAACTCATGATCCCTTSATCAACCATACTTCAGCAGCTATGGGTCTAACACGCTGGGCTACGGACCAGCTCTCTTATAACATGTTTTAACTTACCTATATTTAGCCAACTGTGTGAAAGTGAAGAGTTCTTGAAAAACTGTGGGAACTAAGTTTGTTACCAAAGTTGATGGTGGGATTTGAACTCATGATACCTTGATCATTCACACTTCAGCAGCCATGGGTTTAACATGCTGGGCTACCAACCAGCTCTATCATACCATGTTTTAACTTGCCTATATTTATCCAACCATTTGAGTGAAAGTGAAGAAATCTTGAAAAACTGTGGGAACTAGGTTTGCTACCAAAGTTGATGGTGGGATTTGAACTCGTGATCCCTTGATCATTCACACTTCAGCAGCCATAGGTCTAACATGCTGGGCTACCAACCAGCTCTATCATACCATGTTCTAACTTGCCTATATTTATCCATTTGAGTGAAAGTGAAGAAATCTTGAAAAACTGTGGGAACTAAGTTTGCTACCAAAGTTGATGGTGGGATTTGAACTTGTGATCTTCCTGCATCAAAGCCATGTGACTTCCCCACCATGCTAACCATGAGCTCACTCAGTTACAGTTTTAACTTCCCCAAGTGTGGCCATTTCCTGGGTGAAAGTGAAGAAATCTTTTAAAACTGTGCTAAGGTTTTGCACATTGTGTTACCAAAGTTGATGCTGAGATTTGAACTCCTGTTCTTCCTGCACCAAAGTCACGTATCATCTCAACCAGGCTAACTCCCAGGGCTCTCATGCAGAGTTTTAACTTCCACAAATTTGACCAATTAGGTCAAAAGTGAAGAAATTATAGTTGCACTGATTCATCGGCCGGCCTAGAAGAAAGCTTTCAAAACTGCACACTAAACTTTCTCAGCCTCAAAGTCTCAGTATGGTGTTGCCTACATTGTAAAAAAAGCCCCCACAAAATTTGGCTACATTATGTCACTGAAGCTGGCTCTGGGATTTAAAATCTGATCTTGCTTGTATTAAAGTCATGCGACTCCATCGTNGTATGAAAGGTTGATCTGGAAGATTTTTACTTTTATTTTTCTGAATCAGTCCTAAAGTTCAGTTTGACTGCTGCTGGTTGAATATAAATAGTTTGAAGATCATCAGGGCCCCGTTTCATACAGCAGCTTAACAAACCCTGGGTTAACGCAGATACTCTGAGTCAACTTACCCCGCTCTGTGATACTCAGAATTTTTGGTTTCAGAACAGGTGATATCAACTGGATAACTTAACTCTGAGTCAAGTTACCCTGAGTTAAGTTGGAGCAGGAAGCCCTCAGATATGATTCACCATGGCAGTGGGAGAAAATAAGAAGGCAGTCCATTTCTCATGCTGGAACTAGAAATATTAATGAC